CTGGGCGGTATGACCAAAAATTTATATCACGGTATTTTTTTAAATGAGACCGGTTTCACGGTACATGATGGTATTTTATTTTTTTTCTCCATGCATGACGGGGTGTTAACCATATTCTCTACTGATTGAGAGGAAATACTGCAGTGTATTGACTTAGAATGACTTATTTTACTGTCATGATGAGTGAATATTGTCAAACAATACCACACTAAATAGTGACTAAACACGACCCCTTTTAATACATGTTAACCAGGATGAATATTCTATGGAAAAATCAGCTAAAAGGGTCTGAAAGTTGCTAAATCTAGAGCTAAAGTCGCGCTCGTGTGTGTGAGACGCGGGAGCTGATGGCAGCGGGCGCTGGATATTTGTGGAGGTCAGTGTGGATATTGTGGATGAGTTCTTCTGTGTCATCACGTTCTATTAGTTCTACAGCTTCAGTTTCTGAACTTTCACGCTTAGTAACACATACAGCTGTTCCCTCACCGCAGTGCAACAGTGAAAAAGGGACCGGTTTCAAACAGTGTTGCGTTCCCAACGTTGTTTAAGCAACAATACATGGTATCGCGGTATTTAAAAAAATTAATATCATAACAAAAATAAACACCGGGATTCGGTATGAACCAGTATACCTCCCAGTACTAGTATTTACTATCATTTTTGATCAATTTAATGCATCCTTGTTAAATAAAGGCAGTAAAAAAAAAAACATTTCTGGACAATAACCTTAACCTGCTTTAAACTGTGTTTCTCTTCAGTAAGCGAACTCTGAACATCGAGAGGCTGGAGGCTCAGTTGAAGGCTTGCCATTGCTCCTTTACTTTCACTAAAATCAAGGTAAGCTGTTTGGAGCATTTGGAAACTATCAAAGTGTGTTTGTAGTCTGACTGTAATTCTGTCTCTCCAGCCGTCGCTGCTGGCTTTGGCTCTTCTGGCTCTGGAGATCGAAGATCAGCACGAGTGTGAGCCGGTTCCTGCTCTCAGAGAAGCTCTCGGTGCGCTACAGCAGAGTTTGACTGTAAGTTACCTGCAAGATTTCCACACAGCTGCTGCTAAAGAGATTTACTAGTTTGAGAAACGGGGTGGAGGCGTAGAGCGCACTGAACTAGTTACTCAGAGCAGGGCTTGCAGAACTTCTCAATCTATGAAACTGTGCATCAAATAATATGTAATTGGTAAAGTTGCAATGAAGCCGAAGTAAAGTTAAGGGGACTAAATGATTCGAGAAGGCCTACATAAATGAATGCTGATTTGTGACACGATAAATGCAGATGGAATCACTGAATCCAGTCATAAAAATTGAATTTACTGTATAACATGAAATGCCATAGAATTGGTCAAATTTGGAAAGAATTGATCAAAAGTAGGTCAGTACACTTAAATCAGATTGCGATATTGACTCTACTTAAGCATTATTTTTAAGGAATAATGGCAATGTTTCTTCGATGTTTTAGTTTTAACTAGTGCTGTCAAGCGATTAATCGCATCCA